ATTTACTTTTAATTAATTTAAAGTTGAGTTGTGACAATTTTTATAAAAAAAAAAAACTTTCTTAATATTTTTTTTATTTATAACACTCAAATTTAAAATTTTATTTTAAAAAATCAAATATTTTTTACTAAAACCAACAAATCATTAATATTTTTCATATAGACGAGTATTAACCATTCTGTCTCAATAAATCCATTGGTTGGCTTTAAAGTGATAAGGATGAACCATAGATGCAGGTCATGGGAACAATTATTATGCTATATATACGACCTTAAGAATAGCACTGTAGGTCATGTCAAAATTTTCAAGCAGGTCATGGGAACAATTATTATGCTATAAATACGACCTTAAGAATAGCACTGTAGGTCATGTCAAAATTTTCAAAATTTTCGTCTATCGGGCTAGTAGTTAATTTTCTTGAACTTATTAGATATATAGATGTGGGGTTATAATTTTATGATCGTTAAAAATAAAGTAGTCTTAAAATAAGTGAAAATTAACTGAAAAATACATTAATTGTAAATAAAAAAAAAAAGAATTTTTAACATAAACTCTAGTATAAGTTAAACTTCGTTAAATACAATATTTTTAATTAATTTTGTATAAATTTTCATATTAGATTCAATTAAAATAAAACATAAAATGTAAAATTGAAGTAAAATATAATATTTATACTCAAGATTTATAAAAAAATATAAATCTAATATAAAAATTTGTACAAAATTAACTATATATTTAATAATTAATAAAACTTAACCTATATGCACAAGTTAGATTTAATTTTAAATTTATTTAACCTTAAGACCTCAATTTTTATTATTCAAAATTTGACCATGTATATATAAAAAAACATTACTAAAAGGGCCCTTAATTGTTGTTGAAAATATTCAAGGCCAATGAAAAGTATAATATTGTCACAAAATTAGAAGATGAGTTGAAATGCTTACGAATTACTTAAATTTGTTTTCAACTAAATTCAACATGAAACAAGCTTTCACAAAGTGATTTTACAATGATGAAAGTAAAGTTTTTAGTCAATTTTAGATTTAGTAACCATCCTTAACATCAGTGGATATATAATTAGTAACTATCCTTTTTACTTCTTTTAGTAATTAATGGTTAAAGTAATAAAAATATTGATTAATCAACAATAATAATTTTTTTTAATTGCTATAGATAATAATAAAAGTTAAATGTTAATTTAGGTTACTTAACGTTAAAATTTTACTGAATTTTAAACCT